TTCCTCGGGAGCAATGAGAAATGGGGGAACACATCCTTGAGTCACTGAGAGCCCTCTGTAACTCAAGACACTGTGGTGTTTGCAATTACCACCTGCCAAGAAAACATTCTGGAGGAAGACACAATCACCTGTCAGGAGCAGAGCCCTCTGGAGGTAAAGAAGATGAAGACGCAGATGCTGGAGGAAATTTACTTTGCTCTACTTCTCCTTCATGCCTCTAAAATTTTTCTATGATGTCTACCATAGCATTAATTAACCAACTGCACATATATATATATTGTATATAAAATAGTAATAATTAATGAAATAAAGAAATAATATTTTTAATATAAAAAGTTGTTCCAGGCACAGTGGCAAACACACTCCTGTGTTGAGGCTGTGGCCAGCCTGGGCCACCTAGCGAGACCCTGTCTTAAAATAACAAATAAAAAGGGATGGGGATGTAGCTTCATGTAGAGCAGTCTGAATCCAATCCCCAGTACTTAAAATGTAATTTTAAAATATAAAAGAAAAAGTTGTTTCTTTGGGGGGGGGGGGATGACTCTAAATAAAGATTAAAAAAAAAAAAAAAAAAAAAAAAAGAAGAGGGGCTGGGGATGTGGCTCAAGCGGTAGCGCGCTCGCCTGGCATGCGTGCGGCCCGGGTTCGATCCTCAGCACCACATACAAACAAAGATGTTTGTCCGCCGAAAACTAAAACAATAAATATTAAAAAGTTTAAAAAAAAAAAAAAAAAAAAAAAAAAAAAAGAAGAAAGAACAAACATCTGCAGATAAACAGGAATTGAAAATAACTTTGTACAAATAACTATAACATCTCCTAAGAATGTAACTTAACAAAACTAACTTTATTCACTCAAGCTCAACCAGAAGTCACACCTAGAGACATATGTGGCTGTCAGAGAACTAAGGTAGCAGAAGACAGCACTGCACTTGAGCCACAGAAAAGGCCTCATGCCCAGACACCTGCTGAACGTTGGAAATGGTGTCCAGGCATGAGAATGTACAGAAGGGCGGCTACAGGTGAATCTGGGGAAATACACAACGTGAAACTGGGAGGCAGGGGAAAAATCACCACTGACCTACTATGACCACCAGCAATCACACAATGTGTATCTAGAAAAGAATAATTCAGTCCCACTTTCCGTAGGGGGTCAGAAAGCTGCAAGAGAACAGTGCTCTTAGAGCTCCTACCCTAATGAGACAGAACCATAGTTCATAAAATCTAACTTGGGGCAAACCAAGAACAGAAGTGACCCACCTGGCTACCAGATGAATTTTACAACAAGGGGCAACAAGCCCTTCCAAGGAGAAAGGGACACCCTGTTTTGCCTCTGGCAAAGTAAAGAATATAGAAGGAGGCCATAAAAGCAGGGGGAAAAAAACAGCTTAATAAGTGTAGCCAGCCAGGAATATAACCCCTGGAAGCCCCGAAGGATTCCCAGGAAGACTGCAAAAGAAGCCACCCACCTTGCTGACCAATCTTTGTTCTATAGGAAGCAAAAGCCTTTAGGGCTGGGGAGGGCAGGCACCCTATGCCCAGGGCCAAGCCTTATCCAGTGGCTGAGAGGAGAGGAACAGCTCTCTGTACTAGAAAGAGGCAGTAGACCAGCACAGAGAAAAGTGAAGGCCAGACCCCTGCAGAAACAAGGCAGAATCTGGTTGATGGAGCAGGGGCAACTTGCCAGGAAAGTTGCCCTTGAGGCCCCAAACACAGGGCTGCCCCAACTCAGGCTGAAAAAGTGAACTATGTCAAGTAGAAAGTAGAGAAAGACCCAACCCCAGGTCCACAGAGATACAAGGGTGCAGCACACACCATTGCAGACAATCCAGCCAAAGGGCTCACTCAGCCTCACAGATGCACAGCCAGTAGCTCCCTCAGGCTGGGGCTCTCTACTGTCTATAGTTGACCTAACAGAAAGAAATAAGCAGAGCGCAAGAATGCTTAAGGAAATGTGGTATCAATTCTGCACAGATCTCCCCCCAAAAGGGAGAAGAAACGGGGACACACTTTTTATTTTTAATTTTTGTTTTTTTAGTTGTAGATGGATATAATGCCTTTATTTTGTTTATTTACTTTTATGCGGTGCTGAGGGTCAAACCCAGTGCTTCATCCATGTTAGGCAAGCCCTCTATCACTGAACCAAAACCCCAGCCCACAGGGACACATTTTAACTTCTTTCCTGAACATTGCAAGACTAGAGTATAGGCAGACATTTTTCATGGGCACAGAAGCAAAGTCCTTGGTAAAATTCTAGCAAACCAATGCAGCAACAAGCCAATAGAATGTCCACAGAAAGGCCTGTATAAAAATATCCTTCACAGCTTTTTACAAAACAGCCCAATTCTGCAAACCACCCAAAGATCCATCAATTAATTGGGGAATGGGTAAACTGGTGTATCTGCACAATGCTTTCAACAATAAAAAGAAACAAACTACTGACACATCCAACAACATGGATGACCCTCCAGAATGTTGTGCCAAATGACAGAGTTTATGGAACACTCTAGAAAAAGCAGAACCGTGGAGGAAATCAGGTCCATGATTACAAGGGACCAGAGTAGAGGCCAAATACTGACTACCAAGGGGAACAAGGGATCTTTACAAGGCGATGCAAATGTTCTTTCTGTATCTTAACCCTGATAATCAGAAATTTTTGTGGTTTTATTTTTATTTTTAAAGAAAAAAGGGTGAGGGCTGGAGTTGTGGGTCAGCGGTAGAGCGCTCGCCTAGAACATGTGAGGCCCTGGGTTTGATCCTCAGTACCACATAAAAAATAAAGATATCGTGTCCATCTATAACTAAAAAATAAAATATTTTTTAAAAGTGGTGAATTTTTACTGTATGTAAATCATCATAATTTTAAAATATCAGTGATCTAAAACCAGTGTCCACAAAGAAGTCTATCTACAAAGGCAATGGGTAGTCCATGGGCACACATATGCCAACACTGCAGCTCCGTAGAGGTTGTGGCTGCTATTTTGAGTGGGGGGAGAAAGCCTCACTGGACAGATGATCGTCATCAGGACAACTGCCAGCCAGAGCACAAGAGGCTCCAAAGCACAACTGATGATGTGAAACAGAGGCAATGCCACAGGCCTGTGTACTGGGGACAGCAGCAGTATTCCCAAGGGCACAGACAGGCTAAATACCAGAACAGGGCTGGAACAGGAAGGAAAGATGACAATGTTCAGGAAACACAAAAACCAAAAAAAAAAAAAAAAAAACACAAAAAACAATAAATAAATAGCTTTAGCCAATGGAAGGACTTAGAACATGGACTGGAAGAGAATAGGAAACAAACTGACATCTGTAATCTAAACAGTCTTCCATTTAAATAATGAGGGAAATACCAAATACTTTTAAGTGGACACAGAAAATTATCACATGAAAAATGACAATAGAATGTGTCATTTTTTGTGTGTGGTGGCGTATACCTACAATCCCAGTACTCGGGAGGCTGAGGCAGGAGGATCACAAGTTCAAAGTCAGCCTCAGGAACTTAGCAAGACCCTGTCTCAAAAATTAAAAAAAAAAATAAAGAGGGCTAGGGATGTGGCTCAGAGGTAAAGCACACCAGGTTCAATTCCCAGCAACAAAATAAAACAAACCAATAAATTTTTAAAACAATAAAAGCAAAATGTCTAAGGGGGAAAAAAACTTCAGATTGACTATAAACTCTCTCTTTTTTAGAGGGGCATTACCGAGGGTTAAACCTGGGCTCTAGTTTTAATCTCTAATGAGGGTCAGTGCATTCACTCCTTTGTTCATCATTTGCTTACTCATTAATTCAAATATTCTGAAGTACCTAATATGCATCAGACTGCTCTTGGCAAAAAAAAGGGGGGGAGGGGTGGCTGGTTGCCTTCAATTAAATTCCAGTAAAGAAGAAAGAGGAGACAATTAAGGGAAAATTCAAACGAATAGAAATAATGCAGGAAATGGGCTTGTAAGAGGGGGCTGAGTGGGAAAGCTACCTTTAGTTTAGTAAACAATGAGGCCCAAGGTTTATCGACTTAAAGCCTACTATTCAGGATACTGCCCTCAAGGAATCCCTGGCTGAACAGCTGGGTAGCAGCAGCAAAGAAGCAGGTGAAGCTCAGGATATGAAGAGCCACCAGCACTGCAGCCAAATGCTCCTTGACTGTCACTGGGACTAACTGGAAAGTAGTCCCACCTTAGAAAACAGAAGGCAGTGATTGTTGCTTTTTTTTTTTTAATTAATATTTTTAGTTGTAGATGGACACAATACCTTTTTATTCCATTTATTTATTTTTATGTGGTGCTGAGGGTCGAACCCATTGCCTCACAGATGCTAGGTAAGCACTCTACCACTGAGCCACAGCCACAGCTTGATTGTTGCCTTTTACTGGCAACATATAGATCAGAAAAGATAGAGCTCAGAAAACAATTAGTTGCTTGCAAGCAGAAATTGGGAATAGATGTGGGGCCTTAAATGGTTACAAAAGCCAACTCCTGGAACCTAAACAATAGATCTCAAAGCATTTTTAGAACAAGGGCCCACTAAGACTCATTCTAGGTCCAAGATGAGAAGAAGGGTCCCACCCTACCTCAACAGCCTCAAGATAGCCTCCAGAACCTGTGGCATAGGATAAAGCAAAGGGGGAAGGCCAGGCTTAAGAATCAAATGCTAGGAACAATTTCAGGTGAGTTAGCAGCCCATGGAATTGTCTAGAACTAAACACACAAAAGGCCTACCAGCTTTGTAGGGAACTGCACCATGAAAGAAATCCTAAGCTTGAACTAAGAAAGTCAAAATCAGCCAGGGACCACAAGCTTGTTGACTGTCCCAATAAGGAGAGCAGATGCCCACCACCTCCTGTACCTGTGGCCATGAAGGTCGGGAGGGTGGAATTTAGGCCAGAAGACGGTGCAGAAGGGAGTACCCTAAAAGCAGGTGCAGCTTCTTTCCTCTTGCTGCCAGTTAACCCACATCCCACAGAGAGGGCGATGAGCCTGCTTGCGCTGGCAGCCACTCACCGGCTGGTCAAGGCCGCCATGCCTCTCCTCCTTCTCCACAGTTCTCCGGCAGTCCGGGCACACCCACAGCGGCAGGTGCAGCACGCTGTTGCCCTTGGGTGCCATGGAAAGGGCCAATTTGCTCGCAGTCTTAATTCCACTCTCTAAGAATGAAGGGTCTTTCCGTTCACTTCTGCACAGAAGACAATAATCCCCAGCGGGGTAGGGTGGTGTCCTATGATTCATGCCAAAACTAAAAGGAGTCTGGAACAGAAAAAAAAATTCTATTTTCAAAACCTGATTCACAAAGCCAAGGTTGTTTTATATATACATATATGTAAATATATGTATATATTTTTTTTTCTAAAATAAGCGCACATTATGTTTATTTTTATTTATTTATTTATTTATTTATTTTTAAAGAAAGAGAGAGAGAGAGAATTTTTTCAATATTTATTTTTTAGTTTTTGGCGGATACAACATCTTTGTTTGTATGTGGTGCTGAGGTTCGAACCCGGGCCTCACGCATGCCAGGCGAGCACGCTACGGCTTGAGCCACATCCCCAGCCCCACATTATGTTTATATAAAGAAAAAGAATAGAAAATTTGTAAAATAAAACTGAACTTAATGTTTTAGAAACTCATAAAACTGGAAATAAAGAAGTAACAACATAAGAAAAATTTTATTAGGAATTAGAAAATTCTTTGCCTAGACTTCTTCGTTACTTCCCCTCAAGAGAAATTGTCAGTACCATGGTCAGACCATGAGAAAGCACCAGAATGGCACTTCATCAACAAGGCTTGAAGCCACTGCCCCAAGGCATCGGCACCAAGGGCTTCACACTGAATTGGAAATTGACTCCAGACCTTCTCAAACAACAGGGAACCTGAGGGCAGCCAGGCCTACAAGACCTCATCTCCCTTCCAGGCCTTGTAATAATAATGCTGAATCCAACTCCAGTTTCCCAATTTCAATGGCTGCTTTTTTCAAACAGGTCCTAAACTGTCGATGAAGGTAGAGATAGAGGCCTAAGGCAGAGGCAAGATTCCCTACATCCTTTTCAAAAGGTTATCATCGTCCTCTCAGAAAAGTAAAACTAAGTTTTTAGAAACACACATACACACAGAGCAGAGAAAAAGAAGCCAAGGCTCGGGAGTTTGGAAATGGGCTTAAGGCTAATAGGTGGGGATAGCAGGCAGGACTTTAACCCAAATCAGAGAACCCCAAGATGGCCCTGCTCTGCACCTGATGATGAACACCTGCAGGTACTGGAGACCAGAGGCACAGGGCAGTGGGTGGGCAGGGCCAGGCAGCAACTTATAGGAGCCAGCACTACCTGTCTGTGCTCAAAGCCACAGCACACCACAGGGTTACACAGCACCAACGCCCCCTTGGTTTGCCCTGCCTTCTGGAGGGCCCCTGCAGCAGTGCATCAGGTGTGAAGGAGAATAAGACCCACAGCAAAGCTACTGTGGTTTCTCACAAAGGCTCCAGAGACTCTTCCAGTACCCAGCCAAGTCCTACTCTTGTGGCTCTCTCTCTATCCTGTCACCAATGTTCAACCGGACCATGAGTGTGCACTGGCATAACTGGCCCCAGAGGCTCAACAAATGAAGGAAGGAAGGAAGGAATGACAGCACCTCTCAGTACAAATGACTCGTTACATTCTTACATGCTTTTATAAAAGAATGATTGAAACTATGTGCCCCTATCACACCAACAAAGTTCTGTGGTTTAACCAAACCTGGCTCAGTGAACAATTTAGTGTGTGGAGATTGCTGGGAAAGAACTGAACAATGGCTGCCAATCATGTCCTTGCAGGCTTCAGACCCCAACCACACAGAATATAGGAAAGCAGATGTCTTTTTCTGTACTGACAGATATGAGAATTATATAAATTATGAGGATTTCAAAACTCTCACTGATTTAACCCTTTGTAAAGCTACCTCTCTTCCCTAATCCTGGAAAACAACCTTCGCCCCCAGCAGAATAGCCAAAACCATCAGACCTGATGTGCCACAGCCTGGCTGCAGCAAAATAACTGGGGGGGTGACGAGCAACTTGTGTATGTTGATACAGCAGGAGTGGGAGCTGTTTATTGAAGGACCGGAGGGGTATATATACATTACACACAGCTTATCTTAATTAACATAAACTAGATACAGCAGTCAACCAATAAGGAATCTCCATACTTAATGGCTCGCTGGCATTACTTCACAAACCACTCCCTCTGCAAAATGCCAGGCGCCATCTTGACTTGTTTACAGACTCTCACACTGATGGGCCCTGCTGAGCTTTATGGTTACCAAAGTCCCAGATTGACACTATAATTGACAGCCATCATGGCCCTGAAATATCAGGTTCTGGGCTCACATGTTCATCACTCATTATAGGCAGAGTGTCCCTAATCCAAAAGGCTTGGATCCACATGTGTTTCAGATACTTTCAGGGTTAAAATAGTTACATATATGTAAGATATCTTGGGAATGAGCCCCAAAATTTATGTTCATGAAAAATTTGTTTCATATACATCTTATACACAGACTGAAAGTAATTTCATATAACATTTTCAAGTGCACCTAAGTTTTGACTGTCACTCATCACATGAAGTTACATGTTGAAAACCCTACTAGTTGTCATATCTGCACTTGAAAAGTTTCATATTTTCGAGCATCTTGGATTTCAGATTTTTTGGATCAGGGTACTCAAAGTTTAGTGTCCCTTTAGAACAAAAAGCTGATGCTCTATGTTCTTTGCATTGCACCCTGTTGTCTGTCCTGATACTTGCTGGGAGATCATGACTGCCCAGGCACTGGGACAGAATAAACAAAGATCTTTGCCCTTGAGGAGCTAATATGCTCTTCAAAAGACAAAGTAACAAATAAGATAAATTAGTAAAAATGAACAATAGTAGATAGGGGCAAATGATGAGGAAAAAACACAAACCAGGAAAAAGCGCCTAGTGCTGGGTACAGAACGCTTTCACTTAGGCTGGCAGCAAGGGCCTCCTTGAGGAAGTAACTTAAGGAGATCCTTGAAGTCATCAGACACCTGGGGAAGAGCACTGTGGCAGCAAGCACTGAGGCCAGCAGGCCAGGTGGCCAGGGTGAGTGAAACAGGGAGCCGAGGACCAACCCCAAGTGTACATGGGAGGAGACACAAGGAACAGGGAAGGCAATGAGGAGACAGAGGGCAGCGGTTTGGAACAGAGCTGCCAGGAACAGAGAGATGGTAAGACTGCTGGGGCTGGGGAGGCAGAGGCTAGGCAGGAGAAGGGGTGAAAGGTCAAGGACAACTTCCAGCATCTGGGCCGACCTGTGGAAAAGTACTGGGCCGAGGGAGACATCCAAAACCATCTGGTTATCTACTCTATACTGGGTCTTCTTTTAGGACAGACACCAGGGTACAATGCAAAAAACATAGAGCATCTGCTTTTGTTCTAAAAGGACACTAAACAAGTGAACTCAAAGTCACATGGTACCTTGCATTAAAAAAAAAAAAAAAAGCTGGTACGGGTATAGAGTGGGACTAAGAGGGTGGTGTTATTTTGATTGTTTTTATTGGTTGGTTGGTTTTGGTTTGATTGTTTTTGAGACAGTCTTACTGTGCTGCTTAGACTGGCTTGAACTAGTAGACTCAAGGATCCTCCTACCTCAGCTACCAAGGAGCTGAGATTACAAATGCATGCCACTATATACCTATGGTGTTTTAATAGGAGCAGAGGAAAGACTTAAGAAGAAAAGGAAATGCCCTATCTGGAAGATGATCAGGCAAAGGTGACAGCATGTGCAAATGAGCAAGTTCAAAGAAAGCAATGCCATGGGGGTGGAGCTTCCAGAGCAACCGAGTACAGCAAGGCAGAAGGACAGGAAGGGGTAGGTCACTCAGGCTTATTATGGTTCTAGCAAGGGCATGGATGGAATGACACAATTCCCATCTTAAAAAGAAATTTTGCTATGTGAAAAATAAACTCGGGTAGAGACAATGATGTAAGAACACTGCTGTAGACAGTTACAGCTGCAGAGAGAAGAAAAGGTGGTTTAGGCTCAGTGGAAGCCATGGAGGAAAGCATTCAGACTCAAGGATGCTGAAGGTGGGACTCTTTCCAAGAGTCCATAGGAATGGGCTTAAACCCCTGGTCAACAATCAGGGCCAGCAATAAACATGCCAGAGACAGGAGGGCAGGCTAGACCAGTGGCAAAAATCAGAAGCCTGCTTTGGATGCTGTGTACATGATGTATAGAAACATCCAATGTGAAGTTTTTGTTCTGCATGAGTGAGATACTCCAGCAATCAGGTGCAATTGGACATATAATTTGGCATCAACTAGATGAGATGACCCATAGAGGAAGAGTCTGTCTGCATAGCAGCATGCCTGTGGTTTCTAGCTACTTAGGAGGATGAGACAAAATCTCTTGAGCCCAAGGACTGGAGAAAAGCTTGGAGGAGCATAGCACGATCCCATCTCAAAACAAAAGAGAACACACAGGGTATGGTTGTGGACTCCTGTAATCCCAACAATTTGGGAGATTGAGGCAGGAGGATCCCAATTTTGAAGCCAGTCACAACAACCTTAGAGAGAGGCTATGTCTCAAAAAGTAAAAAAGAGCTGGGCGCAGTGGTGCACACCTATAATCCCAGGAGGATCGCCAAGTTCAAAGCCAGCCTCAGCAAAAGCAGGCACTAAGCAACTCAGTGAGACCCTGTCTCTAAATAAAATACAAAATAGGACTGGGGATGTGGTTCAGTGGTCGAGTGCCCCTCAGTTCAATCCCCAGTACTCATCCCCTCCTCAAAAAAGTAAAAAGGACTGGGGATGTGGTTCAGTGGAAGAGTACCCCTAGCTTCAATCTCTTGTACTAAAACAAACAAACAAACAGACAAAAAAAAAAAAAAAGAACTACATTCTCTAGTGTAAAGCTAGGGTAAAACATGCCCTCTTTAGATAAAGCAAGTAGAAGGGTTACCACAAAACACACACACACACAAACACACACACACACCTGATATCTGACTCAAATTCAAGTTCACCAACTATTATTGACCTCCTGCCTGATTACTTTCCTAACTGGCTAAATGTGAGGCACAAATATGAAGTCCACTGATTCCTTTAAAAAATACTGATGAGGGCTGTGGTTGTGATTCTGTGGTAAAGCACTTGCCTAGCATGTGTGAGGCACTGGGTTCAATTCTCAGCACCACATAAAAATAAATGAATAAAATAAAGATACTATGTCCATTTACAAACAAAAAATAAATTTAA